CCCCCCCCCCCCCCCCCCCCCCCGGACCTCCGAAAACAGGTAGCCACGGACTTGGGCTCGAAGGACGGCCCGATGACCCTCCTCGCCCGAAATGTGTCCGAAAATTGCGGTCCAAGGGCAGTAGCGACGCCACAACCTTCGCCGGGTCGTACGTCAAGAGATCACTCGAGGGGCGGGGAAGCAGGGACCTCTGCCAAGGGACGTAGTGCGGAGGATGAGGGAACCCCGCCACCGGGGAGAAGAAGACCTCTCCCCCCTCCTCCTCCGAGCGTGCAGAGCCTGCGGTGGGGGGACAAGGCCCAGCTGGCGGACGCGCTGAAGAAGTTCGACGGTTTCGGTCCCGACGTCTTGCTCGCGTGAGTGACTGCATAAAACGCATCCATTATTTACCACTGTTGATAACGAACAACAAGGTGTTAGAAGGGGGGTACGGGAGTTCGTGACCCCGGTTTTCCAGTGATGCATTTTTTAGTTCTTCCGTTACACAGGGAACGTCAGTTGATCCGCCTCCGACAACACACTTGGCTATCCATCACTCATTGCTGTTAAAGGACACCGACTGCGGCAGCCTCGCCCTACGCTGGTCGGGCAATATGATACCGCAGCGGTTTGTCTAGGTACCTGCGTGCACATCCACAGACACGCGCGCTTCGGTTCACACGGACGTTTCCAGTGTGAACATCACATAATATGCTTTATTCCAGGTGGTGGTCGATGCGGTTTAGACAAGCGCGAGGAGAGGTTGAAGCCAAGTGTGTGCGGTGATGGATTTTCATGGTTAGAATAGCGGGAGCACCCACCGTGCGTCTGCCGCCTGCCTAGGGAGTTGTACCCTGGTATATAGGCCCTGCGACTTTCCGAACCGGCCGTGACGAACCCACACAACGGTACCGGGATTGTTTCGTTGATGGAGTTTCAAACTCGCTCATACGTGCCGCGATATGTCCTCCCCATCGCCCTCTCTCTCTCTCTGTCTCTCTTTTTTTCTGTCTCTCGCCCTCTCTCTGTCTCTATCTGTCTGTCTGTCTGTCTGTCTGTCTGTCTGTCTGTCTGTGTCTGTCTTTGTCTGTCTGCCTGCCTGCCTGCCTGTCTGTCTGTCTGTCTGTCTCGCTCTCTCTCTCTCGTTCTCTCTCTCCCGCTCTCTCTCTCGCTCTCTCTCTCCCTCATGCAAATCGTGTTCGAGGGAACACAAAGGTGTGACGTGGTTTTCGACGACGCTCTGCTGCCGCCCCTGCTGGAAACCCTGGCGGAGGCCGCGTGCCGCACGACGAGGGGAGGGGGGCGGCCCAGCCTCTGCGTCTCGCACCAGAAGCGAAACCGTCGGCGCGAGGATAATTTCTTCGCATCCCTGGCAAAGCGTATCGGCGGAGGGGGGCAGTTTCGGATGCTGCACCAGCAGAACGATTTGTCAGTGTTCGTGTTCACGTACTTGATGGGGCGCCATTAGACTGATATGTCGGTGTCCATCCTCATGTACGTAGTCTTGTAATGGTGCTTGGGGATTTGACGGCGGTACGGCGGGGCGGGGCTCAAGGGGCACCGAGTCACCATATCATGGGGGGGTGTGTGTGGCCTCGATTCTGTAGGCCTTTGTCGGGGCGGCAGGTGGTGATGCCGGTGCTTCATTTATGCATAGCCCGGGGCGGGTGGTCGGGCGGGCAAACTCTCATCGTCCGTCAGAGATCGATCGTGTCTCGAGCGCGGGACATTCGCACAGCGAAGTTACGTTGCACACATACATACACCCAGTATCGATCGGTTGCCTGTCGTCGTGTCCACAATTTTGGAAGCAGAGCCAAAAGGTTTTATTTAACCAGTGCGTGGTGTCTGCCTGTAGCCAGCGGGTGGCGATGGGGAGTGGGCCGCACACAGCGGTGAGATCATTTGTATTGCCCCGCCATTGAAGCCGATTGGTTGAAAAACGCCTCACTTATCGTTTGCGCGCATTGAAGCAAAGCTTTGATTTTCCCTCTTGTTTTCGAGGGACTTCGATGGTAAAATTTGCTTGACCTACTACGTCGTGATTGTTTCTTTTCTCTGGAGCAAAAAAATCAAGTAGCGCGACCGTCTTCTTCGTGAAAATACGTTCACTCGCCGCTTGTGATTGGGCGATCGAGGCCCCGTCATCCAGCGTCCATGCCGGGCTCGAACATGTTTTGTTCAACATCAAAAAAATATTTGAAAACGTCTTTCCTTGGGGAGACGGACGGCACTCCCAGCAAATCTAGGGCGACAACAACACCACGTCGAACACACATCAAAAATGTATGTTCCCTTCACCAAAGGACTTCAAAAAGAGAACACGACGACGCTCCTTTCTGCCTATTCACTTAAGGGAAGCACTACCTAGTCTACCAACGTAGAAGAACGGCTATGTTACGGCATACTACTCTAGTTGGGAGAGAGCGAACTTTCGGTGGGCGGCACCGAGAGACCCAAGAACAAAAAACAAGATTTCTACCCAGGCACCATCTCCTCATTAGAACCAAACCGAGACGGTTGCTTTGATGTCCTGGTCGGAAATCCTGTGTAGTACATATATATTTTTTCGGCTTATTGCCCAGCTACACTTCGGAGAAGCGTGGTTCTTCTCCTGACATACACCGATTATTTCGGGGGCGGAACAATAGTCTATGACGCCATTGTTACTTTCTTCTCATGCTAACGGAACGAGTGGATCAATATCCCACAAGAGGCTTATATACCGCTCTTCACACACACCCGCCAACAACACAAAACTCCACAATAGTCCAAGGTAATAATTCAATAAAAGCCAGCCGTTGAGGACGGCCCCCGCGGCTCGAGGATCAACTAGCTATACAGGGACCTACAAGCTTAGAGGAAAGACACCAAGAGATAGATACCCACCCCCTTTACACGGCAAAGCCACGACGTTCGACCGTCACCAGACGAACGAACGGCGTTTTTTTGTTTCTATTAGCATGGGGTGCCGAGCTCATCTCCGAGGTCCGACCCGGACACGAAGCAAGCGTCGTTCTTGACGGAGATTTCCACAGTGTCCGGGTAGGTGTTCCCGGTCATGGTCGTGTCCTGCGAGTTGTCGACCTCGAACACCAGCGCGTTCTCGAAGATGTTTCCTGTTTTTAGTTGTGTTTCGGGCGGGCGTGCGGGCGTGCTTGGTTTTTCATGCTGAAGGGAAGGGCGGTTTGGCTTGCGTCTTGAAACCAGTGGTCAACCTACAGAGGACCAATCATGGAATCCTCATGAACGATCTACGTACTATCGCTCCCAGGATACGGGTGTTACTCGTTTGACTGTAGCTGTAAGGACCAAAAACCACAGAAGCAACAACAGTATATTTAGTATATATACAAAGTGTACAGCTCTTCGGGAAGGGAGGTAGTGGCGGCAAGGACAACAAACAATGAACTAACCGCAGTAAAAACGAACCACACTCTTGTGATGACTGAAGGCGTCTGCGTCAGTTGGACCAGTGCGGATATTAGAAGGCACTGAGCGGAGACCGGCGCTGTTTTTTAATGTGAAGGCAACAACAACAACAACAACAACAACAACAAGCTCATGACCCTGCACCCACCGGTAATGGTGGTGGTGTCGGCCTCCTTCAGCTTGCCCATGTGCCACGTGCTGAAGACGTTGTTCTGGACGCTGGTGCCGAAAGGCCGGTACCCGGTGTAGGGCGGGACGTCCGGCTCGTTGCTCCCGATGTACGTGAAGAACCCGTAGCTGTAACGGACGGCAACAAGAGCCCAGGTTTCGGCGGAACGTGTAAGGGTGAGAGACGGGTGGGGGCGGCAGGAGTACGCGAAGCACAAGCGGCCGAAGCAGAACAGGTGTGTCGGTTGCTTCATGTTGCGCCGAACCACCCCTGAATTGTAAACGCATGTCTGTAGACTACTGCTGTAGATTATTTCCATTGGGCATGGATGACAACAACGAACATACTGCAGCACAGGCAAGCTTCGGCGACACGCGGCATCGAAGGCTTGGTGTGTTTGTGGCACCTGGAGAGGTCCGAGAAGGTGTTGCCGTAGACGACGTTGTTGCCGGCGCCAAGGGACAGGCGCACGCCGTACTTGCAGCGCTCGATGAGGTTGTTGGAGAAGAGGATGTCGAAAGACTCCAGGGTGGCGAGACCGGAGTCCTGTCGCCGGCACGCGGCGGATAGCGCGGACGTATAACCAAGGGAGTTGTTCGTGATCTCGAAGGTACGCGCTTTACCACACGCAGCGTCGTAGAAAGAATCATTTGAATTGCAAGATTTCGAGTGTTGGTTACCACGAGAAAATAGGCGAGCTGTTCGGTGGTCTCGACGTTACGTTCTACCACACGCAGCATCGTTGAAAGAATCATGGCTACTCCGATAGGGACACAAATATTACGTTTGATATGGCGATACGGGTTGGTCTCAGTACACAGGTAGGTTTTGTCTCGGCGGCTTTCATCGTGAGAGCGAGGAACGGAATCAGGTCCACCCCCCCCCCGCCCCCCCCCGGGGGGCTTCAGAAATGCAGCCCCCACTCAGGCGGCTCCCACAACTACCCCCTTACCGCTAAAAATCTCAGGGCCACACCAATCGTTCCTCCACACGCACACCTGCATGTCGTGGATGTGGTTCCCGGTCACTATAGCCGAGTCCGAGCTACGGTGGAGGAAGATACCCGCCGCGGTGGAGCCGCCGTTCCAGACCTCGTTGTTCTGGATGCTCACGTGGTTGCACCTCTTCGAGGCGACTATGACAATAGCAAGGGTAAGCGGAGGGTTCGGCAGAGAAAATAGACCGAGAGCAAGAGAGTTACGTGGTTGCGGCAGAGAAAAGGCACATGGAAGGTGCATTGTATGTGTGTCTTGTGTAGAGTAGTTTTGTGTTAACACGATAGTAGTGAGGCGGTTGTTTGCGAGGTGGCGGTGTGGTTTCCGTCCCGCGTAACCGCCATTCTGGCAACAGAAACAACAGCGACGCTAAAATACAACAAGACTCTCACACTCAGTCAACAACAACAACAGCGACGTTTGTAACCAACAAGACTTTCGGGGTCAGTTTCTCCTTGCTTGCCGTGGATGTCTTTTGCGACGTACTTCTACCGTACCAGTAGTGGAAGTTCGTGACAGGATTTTTTCGTTCTACGGAACCCCCACAGCGGCAACAGAAACAACCAAACAACCAAACAACCAAGACGAAAAATGAGCAAAACTTTTTGCCAAGACTCACTGATACCACCAACAACGAAAAAAAAAAGAAACAGACAAAAACAAAGCTGTTTAGCATCTTGTCAAGACTCACTGATTCCGTGCTTGCCGTTGTTCCAGACCTGACCGAGTTTATTGTTGTTGTTGCATCGTCGAGGAGAGCGAAGGTAGAGAAACAGGCGGAAGGACGAGTGGTGCCTTTGATGAAAGGATCGTTTTGGTAGCATCGTCGAAATAAGGATAAACGAGTGCTTGATGTTGACCTATGTATCCCCGACACGAAGACCACCTTGTCGTCGACAGCCAACACATATATACTTCGAATATCATCATCTCAGGGCAGAAAAATCAACAACAACGACAAAAAACCTATCGTATGTACGGTGTCGTGAACCAACATTGAACAGACGGCTTGGAATGAGCCGCATTCCGCACTTGGAACCGGCGTGATCGCTAACCAGCGTATCTGCTACTGTCCGGCTTGTCCTCCACACACCACGCTAAATTTTTCGCATCATTTGTTTTTCGATTCCCCGCTCGATTCCCCCGATGTGTCTCACTCTTGACACGCATTTTCTTCTGAGCGGTCGATGTAACGTCTGGACTCACCAGGTTGTTGTGGATGGTGAGGTAGTCGCTGTCGTCGTGGGGGTCAAAGCCGTACCTATGGCATCCACAGCGCAAGCACGACGTGGCAGTGTATGTATATAACGGAGCGTGGAGAGTTGTGGGAACGAAATAAAACCGATCGCGATGCAAAAGAGGTCGGGACCGCACTACAGGCGCAGCTAGCTGCACGTGTACGACGTTCGGTCTTCGGCGGGAACGTGTTGGACGGGTCGCCCAGTACGGTAGTTGGGCGTCTCCCGCTTGCATGTGCACCGCGACACAAATGCAAGTAGACTACCATAGGCGGTATCAACGACCGAGAGGGCTGCCCCCTCCCGAAAATTATTGTTGTGTGTGTGGGAGGGAGGGTGCAAGCCTGCGCGGGGTCTTGATGGGCAACCTGACGTCGTGTCGGGACGTACTGCAGGCATGATGTCTCTCACCATTCGTTGTCGTGCATGAGGTTTCCGTTCCACAGCCCCCCGAGGTGGCCGTACCTGTGGCGAAAGCAATAGCGCAAGACGCACAACAAAATCGTACCCGATGGTACAATTACATCATATGCATAGCCCTTCCCCAAAGTGTAAGATAAGAGGTGCGTGCAACAGTATAACGAGGGTCGAGCTTCTGTCCGGCATTGCGAGGAGGGGCCGAGACCCTGAAAGAGTCGATCCCCGCTCGGACATACATGGCCTACATGCGTAGCCCCCCGGAACGTCACAGCACTCACGTGTAGAGCCCGTAGAAGAGGTGGTGGATGTTGCTGTCGATCACATCGCCGTACGTGTTCACCTCGTCGAAGATCTCGGGGTTGCTCTTGTCCGTGCAGAACCCTCGCACCTGGAGGAAGGGAAGGAGGCGTTTTTTTGTTCGGGGGGTGCAGAGAGGTGTTTTCGTTTCGTGTTGCAGAAAGGCATATTGTCTTCTCGTGGCACAAGTTTTTTTATTCATTTATTTTTTTCGACAAAAACCCACGTCATGCCGTAAGTGGTTATGGCAGCGGATCGGCGGCCTGGAGAAAGCGTTGTTGATATCGCATGCAGACTCATGTTCCGACGTGCGACATTGCCGCACTGTTGTCCTACCGCGGTAGGCCTGAGGCGAACTCTGAAAAAAACTACAACAGCAACAACGCCAACGCCACCAGAATGCTCTGTCCTTACTCCCCCCCCCCTTCCCCCCCTCACTCGCCTTGAGGACGCGTGGTCAATGGTCTAA